TCAATGTCCTTGCATCCCAAGTTGCGACAGCTCTGGACACCCTGAACTTTGCCCTGATGACCGAGCGAAGCCATCCGTCAGACACTAGAGTGTCTCCCAGGGCACCACGGAACTCCAGGCACGGGCTGCGCCCTCGCATCATCACAGAGCGCATTTCGTCTGACCGATCCCGCTCTCCCACTCGAATTCGAACCCGACCTTTGGACACTTCATCCACCTGGTATATACCGGCCTTATCCCCGCCTCGTGCGGCACATCGGGATGCCGCTGACAACAATTCTGGTCGTCGGCCTGAATCGATGTTGGATCACCTGCCACCACCACGGCCGCTTGCTCCCTTAGCCCCACACGGCGGACGAGAACCGGGACAGATGACGCCTACGACACCTGACTCGGATTCTGATGGTTCAGTGCGTCCACATCCAGGTGCCTCGTCGTTCCGACCGTCTCCTACGGTGGTTCATGGACCTCGGGAACTTCTACAAGAATTCACCATTGCACTTCGCAATGCACACCGTGAACCTTTCACGGCATGGACACAGGGTGAGCTGGATGAGATGGTGCGACGGAAGAAAGACAAGGATTCCAGGCCCACCTACAAAACCATTGCTCGGTTCCTTCAGAAGCCCATTGAGGAAGTCAAGCAGGCATGGAAGGTCTATCAGCAACTTGAGGCTCGCGGCTAGGAACCCGGTCATCAAATGCAACAGCGACCACAGGAGGACTAAATGGTAGGCCGTGGCGGTGTATTCGGTTAGCGCTGCAGGTTGTTGCGACGGTTGGGATTGCAGTCATTATTGATCACATGAAATTTGCTTGCTTGCACTTGACTGGCATTTTACCAGGGTAATATTGCTTGCCGTTGTGGGTGTTGCCGCTGACGTGAATTGAATGCATGACTGAGTTGCTCAAATCATGTCGGAACAAGTCGTACAGACGTACATTACTTGGACCCATGGAGCGCAGCCGACGTGGTTACAGTTTCACGGACCTGGTGCCCTGCTTGACAGACCCATTCGGCAGACTACGTCACCTCCGCCCCCACCAAGTTTCCCACTGCTTCTTCCACCTCCGCCTCCTCCACCGCCACCACCACCGGTGATTCTACACCCACAGTTTATGCCCTCAGTACGGAGCCCCTCGATCTCAGCTCCTCGCGGACAATCCTGCCCTGCCACATCGAAATCGCAGCGCACACGCCGCTCGATCTACAGCACTGACAATTCCCGTGATGAAGAGCTACGCAGTCCAGGGCGTTCATCCAAACGATCTCGGACAGCATCCGCTTCTGCACCGCGGAGATCTCGGCGGCCCTTTACCGTGTTCCCCTCCAAACGTGCTGGCCGTCCATCGCTGTCCCCATCGGCAAATTGCAAGCATTACTGTCATGCCTTCCTGCGCCATGGGCGGAAATGTCTTTCCCCTTGTGCTCGTAGACGACCAGGACATTATCATTGCAGGTGTGCGCGGCATCAACGGCGGTGAAGCTTAGGCGTCGTATAAGTCGTATATTACAAACCTCGCTGCTGTGTCTCACCTTGAGTTTGAAAAGTTGCCTTGCATTGCTTTGGTTGACACTTCAGCTGCGCGCGGTTGTCATTGCATGTGTGTCTTCGCCGCAGATTTTCGATTGCTTTTAGCGGCCGCGCGATAGCCTGTCTTGCCGCTATGAACCCTCAATATTTCGAGTACCAGATCGAGAGAGGAGTGGAATGGATTCGAATTTACTCACCGGGCACGTGGCGACCCGTTCCCGATGATGCTCCAGTGCTCGCCCCGGTCTACGCTTCCACGTATCGGGAGTGGCGCAGGTCATATCGCTTCCAAGTGTACTGGTCCGAAGACAGCACCGGAGGAACAACAGCGGATCCCATTGTCACGCCCAGTTCGTATGTGTCCTACCACGTGTGGGAGTACCGAGACTGGCAAACACGAGGGTATCAACGACTTGGAGCTCCTTTACCAGCCATTGGACTCGCGATGCTCGTGAATGCAGACGCCAATTCCTCGGTGGACTCATCGGTTCCGGATGGGGCGTGGCGAGAGCCGTCACCACCACCATTCTATGATCCTTGGAACGATTCGGAGTGATACTTGAGCAACATGTCGGATAAAATGACGCGGTTGTGCTTGCTTTGTGTGCGATTCCATGTTGAGTTGTCTTGCTTGGTGTTGTGCGTTCCGTCTCCAGTTGTTCGCCGCTTTCATTTGACTCTGAGCGGTTTGCCTGGTTGATATGTTCAATTGTACAATGTATAGCGCAGCACGATGGGTCCTGCCTCGCTACTTTGACTACGACATCGTCAATGGCCCCGCGAATACGAGTGTAGAATGGATTCGGATCTATGTACCGGGTCCGTGGCATCCAGTCGCCGAGAACACCTTGGGACCAGCCCCGGATGACTCAACCACCTATCGGGAATGGCGCAAGGTTTACCACTTCGAAGTGTATTGGCCGAGGGATAGCACAGGCGGCACCAATACAGGTGCTGTTTCGCAGCCGGTATCTTATGCATCCTTCTATACTTGGCATTATAGAGACTGGGTCACCAGGGGATACCAACGGCTGGGTCGCCCACACCCTAGCATTGCGCGGCCAGTTTTCGCTTCGGGCGCACCGGACCTCATGTACGCTGGATTGACCTCTTCATCGGCATCCTCCAACTCGGATGGTGGCTGATGCTCGTCCTCGCCTTCCTGGGGAGTCTGTTCAGTTCAATTCGATTCGGGAGATTGACTTCGATACCGGAGCCGTGCATTGCTGCAAAAGTGATTTCTTGCACTGTGGTAGTTGTGTCTCTTTCAGTAATTGTTGTCTGCAGCCGTACCTATCAATTTGTCTTTCCGGGTTTGCGTTGTCATGCCGTGGCTGGAATGGTGTCCGGATCCTCAACAACCAGATGCCCAGTGGGTCAAGATCTTTCATCCGGGATCATGGACTCCACATGAAGAACATGATGCTCCACCTCCACCGCACACGTATAGAGAGTGGAGGGAGTTCTATGCTCCCAACCCGGACCAAGACGGTGAGCAGCTCAATGTCACCATGTGGTACAAAAGAGACTGGGCCACAGAGGGCTATCGGAGAGTCGCTGCCCCTCAAGCTGGTCATGACTTTGAGTCTATGTCTTTTCCTGATCATCACAGCGTGGCCACGCAATCCGCGGCATTGAGTATGTCACCGCAGATGTTAGAAGCGATCCTTAGATCCTCGGATGCGGCGGATTTCTCTACCGAAGAACTGACTCGTCTCCAAGAGGGGATTTCTCAACAACTGACAGCTCGCGCACGTCACGCTTCCCAACTTCATCAACCTGTACGTGCATCACGTGGAATCACACCATCGGAGACTGTTGGGGTCTCCGACCCATACCGGCCTGTTAATCCTCCCGACAGCTGCAAAGCCAAGGCGAGACCTATCTTCGAGCTAAATGAGGACTAGACGCACGCGAGTGGGGTAGCATACAAAATAAGGGTGGTTTCCACACTTGCATTACCTTGCTTGGTTGTTGCTTGTACATGGTTGTGCATGGTGCCTGTTCCTCTATCAGCTGGATCGGAGCCCGCGATACGCCTTGCCTCTTACTTCGACATGGACATCGAGGATTCGAAGCAGCACCCATGGCTCGAATACTCGGTCTGGCAGGATCAGGAGTGGGTGCGGATCTACACTGCAGGACAGCCTCAGCGATGGCACCACGGAGAAACTGTACCTGATCTACCAGACAATTCTTTTCGGGAATGGCAGCGGGTGACTGATCCCAATGGGCGCACTGGTGAGCACGGTCAGGCATGGACCATCCGCGACTGGCAGCATCAGGGATACCAGCGCATTCTGTCTCGAATGGAGTCCTTCACAACTCATCATTCGCATGATCAATCTCTTGGTGAAGTTCGGAATTCCGATGCCATTCCAGTTGAGGAGACGTTCACCTATGCTACTCCGTTTTCTCATGGTGATCGCTCGACTGCTTCACAACTCGCTTCAGTCCTCTATGGCGACACTCGTAATGCTCAACGTGGTGATCTCTCGTTCCCGTCTTCTGAGCGGTTTAGGGCTGTTTCTCGTTCCCCTCGCCGCGGTGGATTGGTGGGAAACGCGCCTGCCTGCGCTGGACGAAATCTGGCCCGCGGCCCCGCCCGTTCAACTCTTTAAACAGCGGCCCTGCGCGCCCACTTAAAACGCCCGCGGACGCCCCGCGCACGCTCGGAGCTTCTTGCTCTCTAGTTTGGCTGCTGGCACCGACAGAATTCAGAATTCAGGCCAAGTGCGCTTGTGGCGCATCCCTTTTTGCAGACCACTGTAGTGGTTGCGCATGCGAGCAAAAATACTATGCAATCTTAGAACGCAATGTCGCAGCCTACAGCTACCCGGATTTTTGTAAGTAGACCGACTACGAGGCCTGGCAGGCTAAAATCCTGCTTTTAGAAAGCAAGGGGTTCTCTGGAATACGCATGTCTCCCTACATGCAAGGAGCGCGAAATCAAATAGCTCTGGCACGATCTCAGAGTGCACGCCAACTGACCCATGCAACCTCTGCTCACCCCATTGAACATCTGTCAACCACATCTCAAAAGGTCAGGCCCTCTGAGCAGCTGAAGTTTGGGAGGCTCTCAGCTTTGGCACTCTGTTTCTTCCGCCAATGCCAATCCACAGTTTTGAGCTGAGGGGCGCACTGGATTGTACCCTCCCTACTCAACCAATAACCACGATCCCAGCAGCGGCGCTCGGGAAAACTCGACATGCATAAACTTGGCCCATGTTCCGTAGAGTTCTTGAGCTGCACAGGCTTTGAGCCACCTCTCAGTTGTTCAGTGACACTGGAAAAAAAGGGAACCCTTTTTGGGGAAGACCATTTTTAGTGGGGCCTCCACCAAACAAAGGAAAAAGGGTGCCACTGAACAACTGAGACCTTGAGCAAAGGACTCCTTTTCAAAAGGAACCCCGAAAGTGTCACGGGCAGATACGGAAGGGGTCCAAGGACAAAACACGAGGGGTCCTCCAGCCTTGTTCTTTCCTCTTCATCCTCGTCCGGTGTAGCCTAGGCGACGCAGCAAGGACTCTTGATATAGAAACCATCCTCACTTGAGAATCCCTACCCCTGAAGAACTGGGGCTCAGTCTGGCGTCAACATTGACGTTTCTGGCATCCCGAGGACTCGAAGGCTCCCAGTCCCTGCGACCAAACTCGAAAATTGGTCATTGTGCACACCGTGGTGGAACTATATAGCACGATCTGCGTCATGTGGGTAAGATTGGTAGGGGCTGACTAAACTTGAAACCAACATGGGGGAATCGCGCTGTGTACTTGCACCTAAGTGTTCCCATTGCATCAGATTTCATGGAGGCTGCGAAAACTGGCCATGCGCCTGGCAGCTTGGAACAATGTTTGCCAAACGGCAACAGCATCCAGCTCACTGGACGTTAGTGTTTCCAAAAATAGGCCCTGCTTGAAAGTGCTTGGTTTGGATTTTATCTGGAAGACCTTGCAAATCGAAAGATCATCCAATCAATCCAGAGAAATCATGAATTGGGGCAGACTACAAAAAGTTATGCAGCTAAAATAAAGAATCGCCAAGTAAACCCCCCTGGCCCTGATTTATGGATGTGAGACCAATCTTAGACATTGTGAGATGGAGGTCGGGAGATGTCGCAAGGGTGCAAGGCACCGAGCAACTGGGACGTTGGGATCGTTCAATGAGTCCCTTGCGCTGCATCTACTTCAACTACCTCAGCTGCCGCCCCTTAAAACCAAAAACAGTGTGTTTGGATTCAGGTCCATTTTGGATTCAGGTTCACTCTGAATTTCGGTGAAGCTTAAAAAAGGGCATCATAATGAATCATGAGTACCCAGAAATACAACCAAAACTCATGGATAGGGGCCGATAACCGCAAACCTGTAACACAAACAAAAGACCACCCAACCTCTCTTCCCTGGTAATATCCCAGACCTCCAGCCATGAGAACAACAACCAGCCCTTTTTGACGGCACCTGACTTTCAAGGGACCCCCCCGAAAATTTAAATGACACCACCAGAGGTGGGTTGGCCAAAATGAACACACGGCGCTTTAAGGTAGCCAAAAACGGGATATGATCCACTCCACCCGCTTGCCTTCAGCTTGGCCTTCAGCAGGATGACCTCACGCTCCGTGTTAACGATGGTGCCCGGGTTCAGCACCATGTCCAAGGTCCTCCGTTCGCGATGCGTCAATTCCTAGGCCCCTTTTCGGTTTGTCCCAAGAGCAAACCAAAAGGAACCGACCATTTTTGGGCTTCCCTATTTTGAGACAAGCCCTTAAAGACTTTGGTCAAAATGGGTAAAACCGAAATGGGATTTCCATCTCCTGGGACAGCACAACAGGGGGAACCAAAGCAACAAGGCAAACCACTACCGTCTGCGCAGGGACCAAGGGTTCATTCTGAGCTCCCGCTTTGAAGTGAGCTTCCTTTGGCTGGCTGACGTTAAGGCCCAAAAAGCCCATGTGAAGGGGGCAAACCCTTTTGAGTCACAGATATCCCAGACAACACCTGGATTTATGTTTTGCTCCCAAGACTCGATCGGCACATCTGTCGAAAAGTGCTCCCGTTCACCCACTTTAATCTTGGGGTGTGGCGTGCGCCATCCATTAGATTGGTCAGAAAAGGGAAAAATGTTTGTTACCACTAGAACAAATATTCCCAATGACTTTGAGTTCCAGCTGGAGTAAGCCTTCCAAACAACTGCCAAAGATGGGTGATCTTCAACATCTCACACTTTTGCCCTTGTGTTGGCTGTGCGCTCAAAAGTTTGGAGGCAGCCCATAGGCTTGCGTAGAGGAACGGGTGGGATCTGAAAGAATAACTTCTCAAAATCACACGATTCATAGAGACCTTGGAGAAAACAAACAATCCCACGCATATAAAAAGTTGAAAGGGTCTCTTCTATAGTAGCCCATGGCCCTCCTTTTGACTTCCGGGATCCAAGGCTTTAAGGAGATAACCTGTGACGATTTGCCCTAGAATGGCAATGTCTTTGCAAGAGATCAAGCAGCCAAAGTCAAGAGTATTTCTAGTCGACATATCTTTTGCTCCGAAAAGTTCCTTCACTTCCCAAGCCCGAAGAGAGACGTAAGGGATAATTGAATTTGGTGAATTTTGCACAAACCTGCGACTCTGCGACCGTATAGAAATCAAAGGACAACCCCAAATTGGCAGTCGTGAAAATGGAGTCACCCATGGCCCGAACCCCCAAACAAGCAAACTTGACGAGATATGTTGACCGAACCTCAGGTAGGACTTGCTGTAGGGCTAGAACCCTAACACGGCCCCTTCTGGGAAAGGCACTCATTCTGAGGTTCTCATGTAGCGACAACTAAATCCCCATACTCACATCCAAGAGGCAAACCATACATTGCAAACCGAAATAAGAAATCCTCCTTTATAGTCGGGAAGCTAGCCCGGCCGACCACCCCTTGGCATCCCGGCAGGGACTTGTCATTGTTCATCTTCCGGAGCCGCGCCTCTAGTTCCGTCACCTCGTCCAAAACGCGCGCCCGTCCCAGTTGCAACCAGTGACCCATGGTTAATGGCGTCATTGCTGTATGGGGTTGACTCCGTGGTTAATAATTCTCTGGGTTCAGCGGCTGCCGCTGAACAACTGTGAAAAAGTAGCCCTTCCTGTACTACCAAAGTGGGTCCCTGTGACTAAGTTGCCAGTGGGAATGGGGTTCCCTTGGCCACTCTAGTTGGTGGGGGCTCCCTCTGTAGGTCCGACTTTGCTCTCTTGGTGGGGAAACGTCCGACATAAAGCCAAAGTGTTCAGCAACTGCATCTCAGTATCTTAATTTAGCGAGGCTCAAAGGAGTCCTCGCCATTTGTCAAAAAGCGTGCGATGTCGTGACAAAATATGGATGTCAAATGAGGCAGAGCGGACTGAACTGTCTCAGCCCCAACTTACAATGCAAAAACCAAAAAAAAGAGCTAGTGGAAATTGGCTTCCCTTTCTGGGAATCTCGGAGGCGGAGTTGGGCATACCCAATTTTCTGAACGCTTGTTTGACCCTCTTCTCAGGACCACCTGCTAAAGATTAGACACAATGTTTCCCCCTTGAGTCTCAGCCCTGACACCTGCCTACTGCTTGCTGTAGGTCAAAAAGAGTTTCAAAATGTTGTGGACCCTAACGTAGGGTCCAAAGTCCTTGAGCAATTCCCCGGTGGCAGATTCGACGCTGGACGTCTCTGGCCATGGGGTCGTCTCCAGCCACCTCCTCGAAGAAGGGCTCAAACTCCTGGGATCCGCGGGTCCGATCCGAGCGGATCGGGTCAAACCAAGCCACCAGAATTTCTTCAGGACCCCAACTACCCACCAAAAAACGCTGTAGCTGGTTTCTTGTCCCCAAACCAAGGCCCCCTAGTCAAGCCAAAGAAAGGGTAAGGGTCAAGCCAAAGAAACAAGCAATGGGGATCTTGGATTTCCAGCCTAGAACCATCACTCTTCACAAGAAGAATCATTATGGGATTCTGACCGTCTCCCCGTGCCCCCCAAAAAAACACCTTATTACAGCCTTCTTCGGAGCGCCAGGGGGTGCTCAGCGGGTGTTTGGCTCTTGTCGTGAGGCTCTCGCATTTTGAGTGGGTTTGTACAATCTGTGCCTTTGGGCCACAAATCGTCCGCAAAAAAGAAGGCACACCCAAGCTCCTTGGTACGCGTTCTCCGTCCTCTCGAAATCTGGGACATCGGTTTAACTGTGCTTGACCTGTCGATCTTATATCAAGCAGAGAACCCAGAGTTCCTTAGCGGAATGCATCTCGATTGAGTTACTCGCCCTTTTCCAGCCAGGTATGGAACAACATGTCTCTCTCACATTGTTACGTGCAGCCCCCATCCCCATACATATTTAAATGTGGGCACAGAGATGGAATCCAACAAGCAATCGGGCCCCCTCTGGGACGCAATGACAACCTCTGTTGGGACGCAATGACGACGTCTGTTCAAGCAGCCCCGCCCATTGCCAAGCAAGGAACCACAACAAATAATTTCGCCCCACACCTGCCTATCGTGTGCTGCTTTTCTTCGAACATGTTTGCGAAATTCCTTGTTGAGGATGGCGTCCGCTCTCCAGCAACCCATTTGCTCTTCAATCGGATGTGGGCTTTTGCATCGCATGCCTCAGGTGCTTGCAAACACTTTCCATTTTGGACCGGACACGTGTCAAGGGGGCCCTTGAAGTAAGGTTTGTTTGGACTTAGAAGCAGGTCCTTGATGATTGGGGGGAGGGGGGCAGTTCGCAGAGATACACATATTAATATGCGCTTGAGCAACGAGAAGTTGGGTTGCCTCCTCCCAGCAACGCCACACAACAGCGGATCATGGAAGTCTAGACCAATGAAACTCGGAAAACAAACTCTTTCTTTCTGAAGGCGGCTTTAAAACATGTTCCAAAGCCAGTTGAAATTGATATTTGGTACAGCAGGCGATGGCTTTGCCGCAAGCCGGGCAAAGCTCCTCATCTGCTTCATTCTCCTTCTTCACAGCCACCGCATCCGCAGCTGGCGAGTCAAAAGCCCATGGCTGAGGGGTGTCATGGAGCCCATGGCTCAGTGGGTCCTATGGGTCATGAGCTTTGAACTCTCTTTTTCGGAGGCCGACTGGTTGACCCACCGACTGACAAACAACAACCAGAACCAGTGGCCATAGCATGGGAAGCTCATACCATCACCCATCTGGGCGAAGGAGAATGCCCTGTTGGTGGCACAAACTGTCACCGCCCAAAAAAGGATCCCTTGAACAAGCCCAAGGTACAGCTTGAAATCACGCAAACTTCTGGGGCTTTCAAAAAGACTTCCGAAGAAACCAAACGATCAGGATAGCGTCATTGGCCTTCACAGTAATTGCAATCCTGCAGGATCCGTCCCACCCAATGCCAACCGCACTCTTGCAGCAACGTGTCATTTCATGGCTAATTTGGGTGGGTGCACTGCTCCTCAAACAATATTGAGATTCCGGTCCATATTTAAGTTCCCTCGAAAAGATATATACAAATCCGCTTTGTGCCAGTTTCACCAGGAAAGGGGTTACTAGTGCCCCCCCCCAACCAGGGCGGTGATGATTGAGCCCACGGACCCCTCGCACGCGACAAAAATTGGCGCGGCCTCTGCAAGAGGTCCGCGACCGTCTGGCGGATCGACCGAGAAAAACTACAGGCTTCGGCGAACTGACGTAGTGCCTGTGACGGGGTTCCCCGCAAAGACATTGGAGCCTGAACTTAGGTTCACCCAGGCATGGGCTTTTTCCAACATTGACATGTGGAGTTAGTTGCTTGTTTGGTGATGTTTCGTGGGACCCTGCACGAGTTTGCTTTGCGAACGCGCCAGTTGTTGCGATGTCTTGTTGCCCGGTCAAATCAGCGAGACAGTGACACCGGATTCCTACGCCTTCCCTTTGGCTTGTCAGGCATTTGGTGGCGTGTAAAGGGCAATCATGAACATGTTTCGAGATTGAGGCTCGGTTCGCTTTCTTAGGGGTTGCTGCAAAGGAAGCCTTCACAACCAAAAGGACAACCACCAACCTACCTGATTTAAGACATGTGCCCTAAGGCTGACTGTCTAGTCTTTTGTGCGCGGTTTGTAACAGCGACAAGGCAAAGGTGGACAAACCAACCATGACTTGACCTACCCCAAGACATGCACCCCCGGTAAGGAAGTTGAAAGAAGCTTGACCCTGGAATGACAAACCCCTGCTTGATCAATAGAGGTGTTTGCGCGCTTCCACTTTAGAGGGGATTCTTCACTATGAAGGAACCATGGGTTTTCTAGGCGCTCAATAGTGTCCTCCAAAAATGACACACTAATTATCGATCCCCTTTGAAAAATCAAGACAAATTTGCCAGTTCATGGCAACCAACTCTCTTTTGTTGCAGATTTTTAGCACCCGGGGCAAGCGGGGGCTCCCCGCTCCGCCTGCCGGCTCTGAAGCCGACGGCCGCAGAAACGGCCTCGGCGGAAGGCTGGGGGGCCGATCCCACGATGGATGCTGGGTTGAGCGAGTGATGTGATGCAAATGACCCTCCAAATGGCTTAAGGAGACACAAGCCATGAAATCAGGTTGCTTCCCCCAGGCCGACTAATGATCTTCCAAACCACTTGGCAACGTTCCATAACTTGGCGCGGGAGGACATGTATGGGGGGCATCTTGAAGGGGCACGGAAGGCTTCAGCTGCATTGCCAGGCAGTGCCTGGAGCGAAGCAAAACGGTTGGTTAGCTAGTCAGTGCCTAGAGCTTGGTTCAAGGACTGATGTCATGAACCCCCATAAGCTGGCTCCAAATTATGCAGGCATGTTTGCCAATCAAATATGGGGTGCCGTAGATGTAGCATCCCTGGCCAAGCACAACTAAATGAAACTGAGATTTGGGCTTCGCAAATCAGCTTGTTGCTAGCTACACTGGTGAAACAGTCATTCATTGACAAACAGCAATAGTTTGGATTGGTTCGGCTATCTGGACCCTTGGATATCGTTCAAATGCAACTGGAAAGGCGCGGTTTCAGCCTCCAAACCGGGTGCAACAAGCGTCCACCAAAGAGCAAAACAATTTCTGGGCGAACTAAGATAATTCACAAAATCCCAAATTCGAGTTTCGACTGGGGCAGAAGTCCGGACTTGTTGCTTACCAAACTGATCTTACCGAAGAGTTTAAAGTCCAGAGAAGTGCAGAGCGGGAGCTCTCGGTTGAACTGGGCTGGCCACTAGCCAGGCGCAAGGGCGAGCCTCAGGCGAGCCGAAGACAAGGTGTCACATGCATGCCTTTGAAGGATTAAACCCCAAGGAATGAATGAGGGCTAAGGGGAGGGATAAATGTGAGTTAATCAGACCAAAATGCGGCTGCAGTGTCATACTCGTCATTTTGCAACCAACCATTGCCAAGCTCCTCCCCGCGTACTCAAGTTTTGAAAAACCCAAGTCAAGAGTGAAACCCATGTGGGCTTCCCCGATTGAAAACAACAGCGCCCTGGATGTGGGGTCCATGGCAGCTGGGTGCACGGCGTGGGGCGCAGAGTTGCCTTCGTCGGCCTCAGGCATTCACTGGGCCAAACCTACCCTGCAACGCAACATGCAACTCGGAAAGGGGTTTTCTTGGCGAGCCTCAAAGGATGGGGTGTTTGGGAGTAGACTCTTAGACCCTCTGGGAAACAACTACAATGCCCAAGAATAAACCCCAAATGTTCGAATGGAGTCAACTTGTAAACAAAGGGGATTCCATAGAAAAGGTACTACCTCCGATGCAACCAGCCCGCCCTCCACACATGTGTTAATTTGTAGGCACCTCAACTGTTTGCTGATTGAAAGGAAAATGAAGGAACACCAAACACTGAAAAATGAACATGCGAATTGAGCTGTGCCATTTGCACATGCCCTGAACCCAGGGCCACATTACAGTGTGGCTGAAGGGATGGTTGGACAAGGCCAGCTGAAGGCACCCATGCATACTAAGGAACCCGAGCTCTCAACTACCCCCCTTGTACTAGCCCCCCTTAGGGATTACACATCCGGACAGCGTGGCCCAGAAGCCCTGAACAAGCTGTGAAGAAAAGTGGCCCCGAGAACACCAAAGGAACGCAATCATATTTGTTACAGTGAAAATTGAAAAGGTTTGCCATTTGTTCAAGGCTCGGAGCAACTCTGCAATCTGCAGCCTATGGTCCACGCTGGCAAAGGCCACATTCCTACATCGGGGGATGGATCTCATTCGTCTGGGCATTCGAAGAAATAAGAAATCCAGTCACGACCGAAGGCTGGCGTTAAACTAAAGACATCTAAAAAGCCTAGGCTGGCAAATGTAGGCAAACACTTTCTTTGCAAAGCCCAACAGTCTTTCAACCTGCCATCATCCTGCATGGCTACATGATGCTCATGTAGATAGAGAGGCCAGTGGATCTGGCCCTGGACCAAAGGATACCCACTCACCCTGACCCGCTCTCCCCTGTATAGGCAAAAGTCGCATGCGTGACTTCCCGACTCAGTGTGCAAAACTCTCACGCAAGGAATTTGCTTCGGACCTCTGGGTGGTTCGTTTGTTTGGTTGCTTGGCTTGTTTTGTGTGGTGGCTTACTTGCCGATTGGCAAACGCCTTGGAGAGGCCCCATGCCATGAACTCAAACCTGGGCCCGCGCCCGCAAAGGCTGCGGCGCAGTGATGCCGGCCCTTGAAAGCTTTCGAAGCGAGAACAAACAACTTGGGACCAAGACAAACGGAATTCGTCTAGTGATTCTTAGACCACTGACATGTAAAAGGAGTGACTACTGCAGTTGAGGGGATTGTGGGTATATTTGAAAAGGGCTGTACCTAAAAATCGCTACCCTTTGAAGAGGCGGTTTGGAGTTGTCTTCAGACAAGGAGTTCGCCAGCAGCGTTAGGCAGCGGCCAAAACCGGAATGGGGAGCCTAATCCCAATCCGCAATCCCGTAGTTTACTCGAGAGGGCGGACCAAATGCTGGCACTACCCGCTATTTAGACAAGTCCTCTTCGTAGGTATGGCCCGCGAAAGGTCGAAATGGCAAATCTAAGCATACGGAAAACCATGTGTCCGGGCAAGATGTCATGATGGCAGGAGGCTGGAGGGAAGCCAGTCCTAGCCAAAGAATCCGGGCAATTTGGAGGGGCAAAAGGTGGGAATTCAATCTGCCCGGACAGGGCGGGAGTCGAACCCCTGCAGCACCCCAAACACGCGCAAAATGTACCCATAACTTCTCCTAGACCAACTCCTAATGGGCAACGGGCACTGCCGTTCAAGCTGCAGGTCCAAAACTCAAGCAACCAGCTTTCGAACCAAGGGACAAGGACAACATCACAAAAGAGAAAGGGAAGGACCGGGACCCCCTACCTCCACCTTTAGAACTTAGAACCAGTTGCTGTCATCAACCCCTTGAGTGTTACCTTCTGTGCGGGATTGGGCTCAAAGAAAATGAGAACACCTAAAGTCAGCACACCACAACTTGCAGAGGTTCTCTGAGTGGCCCTGGCAGGTACTTCAAGGGGCCATTTTTTGAGAGGCCAACAGGCACAACTGGAAAATGGCTGACGGCTGCCAAAGCGTGCGCCTTGTTGGCGTCGCCTGGCGTCCAAAAAGCACACTTTGGGGACAAAACCAGAGCGAAACCCAAGTGAAGCCGACCCTGATGGCATCCTTTAAAAGAAAATCAAATGGACACAACCCATAACGAGATCTTTTGCAGGATTGCTTTGAAGGGGAACCAACAGGTGGCGTCCGACTATACCTCTTCTTGATGTTGGCGCTCTTCCAATGAGGTTGCCTAAAAAGGCCCACCCTGAGCTTTAGTTTCCCAAGTTTGCACTTTCAGGATTCTTCAAACGAATAAGAGGAACACAAAAAACAGTGTGTATCTGGGACCAAGTTTTCTATCATAAGGCCTATGCGAAAATCTACACGCAACATACCTGGATTTGTCTATTTTCCACGTCCCCCCCATCAGCCGAGCCGTGAATGTCATCAGGAACAAAACCGTCGCGATTTAGTTTGCTCAAACAGTTGAAGGTTTGGCTTGTTGGACTTGGACTGCTCACATCCATTGGCGACACTGCTTTTTGTTTGCGAGTGTTTGATCTTTGCATGGTTTTCAAGTTGCAATGTGCGTTCGTCAAACGGCTATCATGCCGCACATTTTGCATCACGAGCTTGGCGTGAAGTGAGTTTGACCTTCAAATAGTCATGAACCAACGAGAAAAAAACTATACAGCCAGGTCATGAGCAGCTATACAGCACTCAACCAACAAAAACACGGCAAGTGCGGTCTGCCGGTCTGCCTGACGAGCCGAGAGCGGAGGCAACCTGGCCGTGAAGTGGTCCCTCCTACGAATCAAAGCCTGACCAAGGAAAAGTTAAAATGGGTAAACCAAGTGTAGACGAGGGGTCAACAAGCTGCAACTGAGGTTGGCATGCTGTATTTCTGCTGAGGCTCTTGTCTGGGGTATGTGGGCAAAATATTGAAAGAACGACCTCCTGGCAAGAAAACCTTAATCAATGCAGCCATTCTATGCCAAGCCCACGACAAGCTTCTCTGCTCGACTTTCCCAGGTCCCAACCAGGCACCACTGTCTGGGTGGAATTTGGCACGAAAGTCGTCAGAACAGCTTTGCACCGAAATTCCTGGCACAGCAAGCTCTCGCCGGCTGATAAACCAAACAACACCTGCAGATTTCTATCCGTCAGGCCTTGAGGATTGGTCATGAAGCTCGGAGCAGCCGAGAGTCATGAGCCTTTTGAACCCCACTTGAGCTGTGGAGCTATCATTTACTCCCGCTCACTTCAGTAAAGTCTTGTCTCATCAATTCTCTCAGAATAGGCTTCAAAGTCTTCTGACCGCATCCAGGGTTTGCAAAACATAAGCACGGGAAACACAGAACAACAAACAACAAAACAACATGCAAGCCAGAAACAGGAAACAAAAACGCCAGCCAAGAATACAAGACAAACAAACGCAAAGGCAATCACAAAACAAGAAGCCAAACCGCAACACAACCAATCGAAAAGCGATGTTGGGTTTGGAGGTTCACGGCCAGCACGAAAGCTAAGCCTGGCAAAAAAACCTGTACCCCAAAGCTGGTAGCTGGGCAATCCCCAAACCGAATCTACTTTCTAGCCCGACTAGTCGATGGCCTTAAGAGCCCAGGACCAAATATGCAGGCCTTTGACCCCAAGACCTGAAATCGTGCGGTCCTGGGCCTGGTGGTCAACTTGCAAGTTGTTTGGGAAGCCCGGGGTCAGAGAATCAGGTTGTTCACAGGCGACCACCCGTTAACAAAAAGCAACCAGAAGCAATCCAACAACTCAAAGGCAACTTGCTCTCAGGGAGGTTTGCCCACTGAGTAGTTCCGGCAACATTTTGGAACCCGCCTCGCAGCGAGCGCCATGGCAGCTCTCTTAGCTGAGCGAGCCGAGACGTGGCGAGTTCGCTGCGTAACTCTGCGCGGTGACTTTCCGTAGGCCCCCTTGGCGCTATGACTGTGGCCACTGCTTCTAGTTGTTCTAATTGTTCTCGTTTTCAACAAGTGTTCTTTTCGAGCACCGGCCGTGTCTGTAATGTTGGTGGTTTCTGAACAGAAGGATCCCCTGGATGAACGGATAGAGAACAGCACTGGATGTTCAAAATGAGATGTGTGGGATATCGATGCCCCCTTGTCAGGCTCCATTCAGCAGGAAAACAGGAAGCATACAATTCTTGCAAGTCACAAACTGCATGGAAATAGGTTGCCTGTACTCTTCTGCAGGACAAAGCATGGCCAACTCAAACGTAAGGGCCAAACAAAAGTGGGGGGTGCGTCAACCTTCCTTTCCCCACCATCGAAAAGGGACTTCGCCATTTTCGGCAATCCTGTCCAAAAGAGGTCCGTTAGAACAAAAAAACAAAAACCGAAAAAACTGCCCATATTCCAATCCCCACGCAGGCCCCGGTGATTTTATTGGTTCGCGGCCGGTGGAAGGATGCGTCAGAACCCGCGCAAGTTGGCCGTTGGCCGTCCTGTTGCTACTTCGGCAACTCTTAAGTGATGAGTAAGGAGCCAGCGGTGCCGCCATGCCATCCTGAAACCATGCCTGCTCTCAATCCCTAATCCCTAATGCACCACTACAACAAGGGAAAGCCCTACCGTCTGGCATTCTTCAGGATTAAGAATTGATGTTGAACAACACTGCTGTATGCCTTGCGCTTTTCGCAAAGTAGGGGACCCTGCAGAAGTGGGTGCCTTCCCTTTAGGTTTCCCCACGCCAAAAACGGGGTAGTTGTAGCCTCGAAAAACAACACAGCCAGGATTCCTGAGCCCAAACTCGCGGTGCATGGCAGCGCTGGCGCTAAATAAGCTGTGAGATGGGAGATCATGGGCTGCTCTGGCTGCGGCTTCATGCGAAGTCGTGGATGAATCGGGAAAATCGGCAAAAGTTGCGAATCCCATCAGCTGGTCAGCCCATGATCTGCGTGCTTCGTAGGGCCCTAGCTCCAGATCTCGGATAGGGTCGCAGGCCCTTTGGCAGGGGCGAAGAAAGGTTCTAACGAGATCTACACTCACACCCTGCACCCAAAACATTGTGAGGGCACCCCATGGGCACCCCAAAATGACTTGTCCTTACCCCTAGGCGGGGCCGAATCTGGAGTCAGCCCAACTCGGAATTCCTGGAAAATGCGCGCCGCAAACCCGGGGTGCGCAAAGAACGGGCTGGCGGCATCACAAGTCGCCAAGCAGCAGCGCCTGGAGCCGTTTGTGTGGACGACCCTCTGACATGGCCTCCACCCCAGGGTTTAATAGGCACAATCACTGTGTAGCCAATAGCCGCCAAACACAAGGCTTAGACAGCTGGAGGGCAAGGGTCGCTGGAGGTATGGATCTTGCAGGTATGGAGTCTGGGTAATCAAAATCAACTGCTTCACAAGCCACAAGCTTCACTCGTACACCTGTACCTTGACTCCAGCCATTACCAACTGAGGAAGAACTAATAGACATAGACAGTATCCAAACATGATGTTCGACCTCTATTCAGCCCAATCAATACATTTCAGCAATGCACCAATAATATCTACTACAAAGTATGTATATATATATATATCGTTATATGTATGTGCATATGCCTGCCTCCTGTCGCAGAAAATGCCCAGCTGTCACTGACCACGCCGCTCCACTCTTCTCACAACTTTGGCCGTGTTGGGGTTGATGAGCTTCACCAAATCTACTCTGTGTTTGTTTTACATTTCTTTCGGCAGGGGCGCATACATTTGTACAATGTACAAACTTGAACACTGGGATGGTCCCAGGCGATACCATTAATTTGCTTCTGGATTATGGCCAACCTGCACGCCTCCCAAACCATAGGTTTTGTGCTTTTTGTGTGATCGGCAACTGGGTAACCTTATCAGCTATCCATCTATGTAAGCTAGAAGTATTCAGTGGAGAAAGGCCACATTCACATGTTGACAATGCTGTATCTTCCGCGAAAGGCAAGCTGCAACACCATCACTCAGCCACGGATGAGCTTTGCGGAGCTTTTTGCGTGGCGCTGCACACGTTGTCACATGAAACGGGTTAAAGGGAGCCATCAATAGGATGAGGCGAGTCCTAAAAAGACCTTCCGCAGACTGCCAGGAAGGCGCTGGCTCGTTTGGGGTCACGTAATCCAAACCTGCCTCGCAGGCGTTGTCCTTCAAGGTTCGCAGCCCTTTTGTGATTTCCAGGTCTGACTATTGGAGGGAGGGGGGCTATATAACCAATAGATGTATGCTGTAAGGTTGCACACAACCCGTTCTCGAGTAACTAGTGCATGGTTTACATAACGATGCTTGTCTCAACAAGCTTCTACTAGGCTTGCATTCAGATTCTTGCAATTGTTTAGGCTGCCAACAATGAAATTACCGATGGCAAACCAACATACTGTATATATATATACATACATATACATATATACATATATAACCCCCCCCCATGGACCCTGGTTTTACTGCCTTTTGGGGATGGCAAATCTAGAATTTCCAAATTTGTATTCTCGAAATTTCCAATTGTGGGTCCCCAAAGCGTGATAATTTGGAGCCCGGAGTCCTCCACAATGTCCCAGTATGATACCCTTTGCACATAAGATGTTACTTCAACTAGAATTGGAATTTTGAATATAGTTTAGTATGGATATAGTTTTCAAAAATGTGTTTATGTTCAATTACAGCTTAAACAAGCAAATCCTTTCCAAATAGCAGCTACATGAAAATGTAAATATATATTTTCGGCTAAACTCCAACTAATCTATAACACAAGAAGTTAGATGGAAGTTGTTTCCCAAATATAATCCAAGTGGTAAGTATAATCTAAGACGAACACAACTCAATGTGCTTTTGATAATATCAAGTGAATAGAGACTACATCTCAAATATATTTCATATTAAATATGGCTAAACATTTGGAAATTAAAAATAGGATTTGTGTTGTTTACATTCTGGCCTTTTTGTAGCATAAGAAAGGTCCGACATTGAACTTGTTAGACGGTGTTCCAAAGGGAAATTTCAAGGGAAGAGAGGTTCAAAATCTAAAACTATCTCGAAACAGGGATTCTAGCTAAACCGTTGTATTTAAAGTTCTATTTGCGCAGGAAAGTTAATTCTATGTCAAAAGGTGGAGGTAGTAGATGAGCAAATGTGGACAGGTAGTTGAAGAGGGTGGGGGACGGTGTGTGAACGTACATACATATGTATATCTATATATACACATACATACACACATATATAGTACCCCCAATGATCCTGCGCCTCCTCATAAAATACTGGAAAGTGCAGTATTTTTGAGCGTTGCACCTGCCTTTGTTTACCTCCTGGAAAGGGGGCAACATGAGCATAGCTGACATGAAGCTCACCAAAAGCACTTGAAAGTTTGTCCAACCAACAACTTGAAAGTGTGTCCACTGGATCGCTAAGCACTTGAAAATTTGCTACTATCGGATGGAAGATTCAATATTGAAGATTACACAGAACACTTTCCTGAGAATTGTCAATCCTGGCCAAACCCAAATAGCATTCAAGTTCTTCTAACACTTGAAAGTGCTTTACCACTGGATTGGGGATTCAATATTGAGGAGCCCACAAACCACCACTTTCCTGAGAATCATCCATCCTGGTCAACCCCTAAAATGTTCAAGTTGTTCTATCACCTCGAACATCCGTTACCACTGGATTGAACTATTTCACGGAAAACTTTTCCGAGAATCTTATTGAACACCGAGAGTATTGGGACAACCCTGGAATTGTTAAAACTTTTTAAAAATTATTGGATTCAAGATTCAAGATTCAAGATTCCCAGAAAATATTTTCTCAGATTCTTGAATCTTGAATCTTGAATCCAGAATTTTTAACAATTTTTAAAAATTATGGGATTCAAGATTCAAGATTCAAGATTCCCAGAAAATATTTTGTCACATTCTTGAATCTTGAATCTTGAATCCCAGAATTTTTAATAATTTTTAAAAATGTCTGAGTTGTTCTTGTATTGTTGGATGCATTCAAACTCTTTCAGATTGTAGGTGCTGATGTCATTGCTTTTATCACATCTGTATGCATGCATGCGTATCATATACATGTACGACCCTCCCCCCAATTTTGACACAAATCCAAGAAGCAAAAAGAAGCATAAAACACTGGAAAATACAGGTCAACCGCACCAAACCAGGGTCCATGGGGGGGGGGTACCATATATATATATATATATATATATTGCTTTTCTTCAGCCTCGGTGCCAGGGTTGGGCCAGCTCCTGTAGACAGCCTCCTTTTGGTTGCCCTTCGACGCCCTCCGATTTACAATCCGGAACCTCCGAAGCATTTGGGTGCCGTTGAAGGTTCTAACACACGGGTTCAAAGATGTTCAAAGGGCTGCTACATGTACCACTTGTGCCATGGGCAAAGCTACTTGCCTCCCCTAAAGGGCATGGGACATGTTGCGAGTCCCTGGTTCCTGGGTTTTGTGGGAAATCGAGCGAGTCCGTCACTCCCAAATGAACCATAGACGACTATAGTGACTAGACGCTTTGACTGAACCGCGCATGATTGGCGGTTGGTGCAAGCCCTCGCAATCATGGCGGCTGCTCCTGGCCTGAAAACCGCGCTATGGCCTCAGGTAGCTGCTGCCTCAGTCTGCGCCGGAGTGGGTCGAGTAGCAATTGCCGAAGTTGCACTTCTCACTTCCGTGAAATTTACAAGGCGACAACTCCTTGCTCACACACGACTTCCCTTCTACCCGCCAAGGCAAACCGTGGGAAATGGAAACAAACAGGGCACCCCCTAAACCTCACTTGATGAGTGGATTGGTCAAAAGAAAAGCAACCAGACTTGTTGTTTACCACTCAACTAAACAAAGTCAAGTCCAGACAATCGGGAAGTGGGCCTTCGGATAGAACGTTACCTATAAACTGAAAACCAAAGGACACATCATGTTTCTACCCTAATCAAGGTTGGATCAAACACCCCAAGTTTCATGTCTGGCCCCTTCCGTGGCAAGAAGCACATCACAAACTCCTTGGCTACCAAACAGGAGCGGTTGTAAGAACATATCTACAGCATGAGGCTACAGTAGTTTAACCTGCAAAGGTACCTGTAGATCCAAGTAGCATCCTGAAAACACACTTATCAAGGACACGTTCACTATGTGAGTCTGGAAGTTGTTTGGAGGGACCATTTCAGGGATGGTGCTAAACTGAATCAACAGGATTCAACCGTCACACACACACACTCGCTCTCTGTCTCTCTCACCCCTCCACTCAGGCACGGGGATTGGAGGGCTCCGTTTCGGCTGAGCTTTGGACGTTCTTCCATAAGCTTCTGAAAGGCATGCTTTGCAGCCTGAAGCATCCAAGCAGAAGTCACCGGCACCCAAAAGGCCACCTTTTCCTTCTTAAACATCCGTTATCTTCACTCGGGATCTGCGACTTTCATTTCTTTAGTCATTTGCGTGATGCGTCGACATGTAGAACTTGGCCAGACCTCAGCAAGATGGCAAGAAGGCAACAAGGCTGGCTACGTGTCTGGCAAATAATACGTCTGAAATGTGCCTCAGTGCGAAGACGGACCTAGAAGAAACACCTGCAACATACCCCCACTACTCTGACTCTGCTCTTTCACGGCTGGCTACCAGTCAGAACTTTGGACCGTCTAAAAAAACAACTTCAAAATTGCTGAGGGGCTGGAATCCTTTGCACGGTTTGGGACTTTTTGGAGAGAGTGTGCACAGGCCCACAACTTAACGGGCACCCAACCACTCGGCCTGCTTTGACATTACGTTCAAACAGGAAACTACAAATCACTGATCCCAAAGTATATTAAAAAAAAAAAAAAAAACGACGGCAAAAGCGCCCGTGTTGATGGCCTATTTGAGGCATATCCTCCCCAGCGCATGTCAAAATGAAGAGACAGATCTTGAGGAAGGCGGTTTCCTCTGGCCTCCTCGCACTCCGTGTTCTTGTCCGGGTGGAGCTGCCTGCACAGCTCGAAGGGACTTTGGGGACGGCATCCGGGAAAAATGAACAAAGAAGTGACCCTCTTTTTCCAACCCCAAACCCATTTGTGACCTCGAGTTTACCTCGTAGTTAATGATTCATGGGCCCAAAAACAGTTTGGGGCCTCAAAACAGGGTCTCGAAAAAAACATGTCATCCATCCATGTGTGGCAAATGCAACAAAATAGCCCGTGTTGCTTACGGCAAACGATTCCCATTTTGTGTCCGTAGAGGATGCCAGCATAATTACGTCTTCCCACCTGGAATCCGGGTAATAAATTATCTAAGAGTGCTTGCGGTCATCACTTGTTCATACCTTGGCTTCTGGACTCACAACTGTGCAGTGCTGATTGGCCCCCTTTTTTTCTCTCTCACAGACTACGCTTCTGCAAATGAACTTGCAACTCTAAGCCCCCCCTCTGGCCGGGACGCATCAGGCTGTTGTGTTTCTACGTTTGCTTTCCAAGTTGTTGGTGGATTATGTACTTCTTGGGAGACAAGTTTGTGCTAAACACAAAGATTGAACTTTTTGTGGGCCTGAGTATGCAAAAGGGTACAGCCTAAAGTACCTAAAGGACATCTCCTACATCATTTGGTGGCTTCCCTCTGGTTTCCTTTTGCACCTCCCAAAACACCAACTCACTTGAGTGGATTGGCCAGACCAGTCTAAGCCTTTTGTGTGTCACTAAAATGGCCACTCCAACGAGTAGAACCAACAACCTCCATGTGGGTATGGGTCAAAATTAAACCACCAGGGGACCGCAGGTGTTGGTCCGTGGCTCCATTTACGAGGATTCCGTTTTGGGGTTACCCTATTTTTGACCCACAGCGATGTCTGCCAGGGCGAATAGGCCCCCCGCCGCTGCAGGTCGCGGAAGATGAGCCGCCGGACCTGGAGGAGCTTCCGAAACGGGAGTTGGTCTCAAGAGATACACGAAAACCAAAGGGAACACAAAGGAAAGCGAGGGAAAACCGAGGAAACCCAAGGAGCCAATGGTAAAGGAAGCCAACATTTTCCACCTACTTGGACCTATCTACTTTACATGCGAGGCCCGGACAAATTGACAAGTGGCCATCCACCATGGTCTTGCTTTTGCAAACCTTGTTTGCTTGAAGTTTAACAAGAAACCACAAGGAACCCAACCAACTTCAAGTTGGGATTGTCTCGAACTGGGATACACAACTGGCAACGACTTCCATGTGGCTTGCCGTACAGTCGAAATTGCCACGCGCAAATGCCAAGCTTGTGCTTCCACCTCTGTGATACAACTGGAAGACCTTCCCAAACCCCTCACTTACAGGGGGAAAACCCCTTCATACCAAAACTCCTGGCAACAGCGAGTGGATCATGTCCCGTCTAAGCTCTTCCGTAGCACATCTGTCTGGGAGGATAGCTCCACTTATACCGTCTGCCTCCATGTTTGTGATTTGTCCAAGCCCTGGTTTCCTCACTTCGGAAAAGACACCCTTGTAAAGCCGCTCAACACCCCGGTAGCTTACAAACTTCCCGGGTTCGTGAACGTTCCCTGAACTTGAAAGGGCGTACCCTTATGTGCCACAATGTCTTTTTGGTCAGCTGCGGCTCTCGCTAGGGAGATGCAGGCTTCGGCTTCCCCTACCCTTTGCCTCCTAAGGACTGCTCAAAGATTCAATACGGAGACCGAAATAAAGCCACTCGGGTAGTGAAAGTAAAATCGATGACGATAGCACAATATACGCGTCTGTTCAAACTGAACAAGTGCTTGCACGTGTATAGTTGTAAAGGCCCTTCTCGCGCGACTCCGAATCGGCGCCTGCAGTGGCTCCCCGCGGCTGTGCTGTAGCTGTTGCCGCATCTCGTTCACCAGCTTCTCGGCTTGCGCTGCTGGGTCCGGCTCCAGGTTTTCCTGGAGCTGGGAATCGGTCCAGGCCTCTGTGTAGGTTCCCTCGAAACCGTCTCAGAAACGGTCCTTTACTTTGAAACACCTGATGTATGTTTCCTTGAAACGTCACCCCCACAAGAAAGCTGACCTTCAACCTTGCACTGAAGGGCATATTTAAATCACTGAACACAAGGGAAACAAAAGAAACCATGCAGGGCACCAACAAAATTTGGTGGGATGTTGGAGGTGCAGCCAATATGAGGTCTGGAACAAATGGGAATGATCAATCCCTTATTGCTGGATGTCTCAAACCTACAACGCCTGGATTTTGCAGACCTGCCTCAAATGGCAGTATTGAACTTGTTTTGATTTGTTTTGGATTGACTGGCCTGACTAAAATGTGCAATGTGGCCAGCCCAAACTTCCAAGTTGGCCACTCCACGACTTAGCCCCATTGCCCAAAGGCAAAGCTTTTGGATTGCCAAGGGGCCCAATCTGAAATTGCCAATTATGAGCGACCGCGCGAGGGAGCTTTCAGGTTGGCTTTGTGAGCGGTTGCTTCCGAGGGCGTTGCTCGCGGCACATCTGTCCCACACGACAAGGCTAGATTGTGGGGAAAAAGCTTTCCACTGGAAGTGCACCTGGCAAAGTGGGACTGTCTCGATGTTCCTCTTTCACATAACGCCAAAAGGACAAACCTCTTCTCCGGTTGGGTTAAAGTCACCAACAACCGAGGGGCTATGTGCAGCATAGTCTTGTGTGAGCCAGGCATTGAGCTCCAATTCATTGTTGGCTACATGCCTGCTCCAGGCTGCCTGCCCTTTTTTCTCCTGCTGAGAGACCCAGAAGCTGGGTTGCGTTGAGGGCTGCAGGGAGCCCTGAATCTTGACTTAGCCACCGCTTGAACACTAGCATGAAGGAAACCAAAAAGGGCTTAGCTGGGCTTGGCAGGGATGGGAATATCGATTTGTTTGGCTTTCCTTCTAAACCACGAAAAGGGGGTCAAGCATTTATACTCTCCAACAAACTTGGGCAACGGCTTTCCTTTCAACCCCCCGCCCCCGACCCCACTCACAAAGGCGAAAGGATCGTCCTCCGGTTCAGGCCGCCGCCGCCCAAACATCTGAGACGCGGGAGTGGGGCGATTGCTGGTTCCACGAAAGTTGTTACATTTCCAGTGCTCAATATTACTTTTGGGCTCCTGGTTTTCCGGATGATGGGGGGTCAAGAGTGCGATTCGAGGGGTTCTCAAGCTTTCTTTCGGTCGGGTTAGGACTTTACCAAATAAACAACTACCAGGGGATCAAGGATTCTAACTAGGGGTTCCAGCACTTCAAAGAAGCAGACCAATCACGGGGGAGTTGTCTCCAAATAAGGCTCTTGATAACAGAATTCGCCATCAAACTCATGTTTTTCTTTCTTAATCAAGACTTACCAACCTGATCATTGCAAGCCATCGCTCTACTAAAATACCAACAACACAAGGTTCCAAATTATATACATGTGCGTGTGCATATTAATGCGTTCGTGCATGCATGATGTGCACTTTTCCGCCGTCATTTGCGCTACAGGTTCCTGGCCTTTTGACCACACACACTGAAAAACATGTCGAGTATCCTTTAAGAAGTATACACGTGGCGCTTGATCTTTCCGTCACGGTTGACCATAATATGACATGAGGCTAGAACCTCTCATGACTTGACCAGACTTAGACCCCTCTGAAGTACAACGCGCACACACGCACACACCGTGGTGCACACACGTGTTGCTCGTTGGTCAGAAATTGTACAGTACAGCTTCACCTCTCATTTATGACGTTCGGCTGGTGAGGCCTTGCCGTGTATTTCAAGAGAAATTGGGGGCTTCAGGCCTGAAAGACTCAAACCACTGTTCCAAATTTCCAAGTACGTGTCTCGTTTTTGGGGGACCACCAAAATAGGTGTCCCTTTAGTTTTCCTTTAACTGCATAATACATGCAAGAGACACACCTAGATCGCTTTAATTGGGGTAAAGTGTAAAATGATGGCACCATATAGCACCTCAATCCCTGCCCCCCACAAGGAAATCCTCCTCTCCGCGGCGCATACGAGCAAAAACATGTTCACTAACGAGGTGCCATGGAGATAAGCAAAGCCCACCCCTGTATGTGCACCTTATGGAACCCATCCCCAGACATAGGTCAAAACACCTTCTGCGGGTCAAGGCAGTAAATCCATTCATAGGATTGCTTGACGTGGTTGTCTGAATTCCTTACATGGTCAATGAGCATCAGTGGGGATGCAGCCCAATCGCTGAGCTGCGGGCCCATGCTGCAGCAGTTGCTGCCCTTTGCTGGAACCTAACGACGCGAAGAACGGGACGTCCTTGTCGGCCACGGCTCCACTACCAAACTGGGATCAGATTTCTGTTTACTACCGTCATCTTCTTCGTCAAGAGTCAAGCGCGATGGAAGTGTCCTAAGTTCCTACCTTTATCGAGCGCGTCTTCCTGGCAATGAAGCAACCAGCACCTTTTGCAGTTTCAATGCGGCAGGTTGCTGCATGTGGAGCAATGGTAGTTTTGGTTTCAAAGATGATTCCCCTTGCCGGAGAGCTGTCTAACGTTCAACTGCCCTTCTTGGGTTAGTGCTTGGCTTGCCAGCCAACGCGTGTGTGACCACGCCCGAAAGGTTGCCGATCAAAGTCATATTGAAAACAACAAACGGAACACAGCATGCAACAAACACACTGGCTTCACGGGTTTTGTATAAAATTCTCATTTGGAGGGGTACCAATGTTGAAGAACACCCGTTGCAAACGAGGGGAACATGTTTGATCACAATCCCTGCTCGGAAACTATCGTGTGCCACAGGGTCCCCCAAGAAACCTATTGGGCGTTGCAGAACATCAGCTTTGGACTTTTGCAATATGTGCCAGCCTGACCTTGCCAGTCCCAACCCCGCATGACAAGCTCAAGGGATTTAGCTTTGGCACGTGCTGAAAGCATCTTAAGGATTGCGACTGGCGCATTCCTGGAAAGAATGGTGGCCCCGGTGATAACTCCTCAGGGCCGCGGTGAAGATAAATCCAACGTTTCATTGTTGCCTCCTTCGGGCGCAAGCAAAATGTCCATGGCTGTAAGCGAGCTTCATCAAAAAGAGAAACCCGAGCTTCGCGAACTAATAAGTACAAACCAACCCAGCCCTTGAGGGGCACCCTTCTGTCCAATCCACCCAAGGATTCCCTCTTGTGGAAGAAAAACATGAACCAACCACCCCTGGCATCTTGGATCGCCGACAGGGCACACACACAGAGGCTGGGCGTCCAAACGACACGTCTTCCTTTTCCTTGGGCTTCTCCTGCTCCCTCATCCGCGCCTCTCAGGAATGAAGCCAACGGGGTATGGCAGTGTAGCAAAATAAGGCGCTTCAAATCAAACAAACAGCAAAACACTTGCTTCCGGCTCCCAATTTCAAGAACCCCTGGTTGGGGTTGGAAACTCGTCCGTGCCTTGAGCGTGGCGGGTCGCAAGAACCTCACCGGAACAAAGCGAGGAGTTCCCAGGAAAACATGGACGGATCTCCGGAACTGGGGGCTTTTTACTGCCCCTCCGGAATGGAAGGCGATCGGCAAATGAGAGCGGAAAGTGGCTGGCAGTGGGCTGAACTCTTCGATGGTCTCGCAGATATGGAATCCAACAAAACATCCGTAGGGGAATCTGTGCTTTGGGATATCCGGTGTTTGCGTTGCATGTTGAAGACCGGTAGAAGATCAAACATGGTCACCATTCACTTGCTAAGAAGCTGATGACGTCAAGTAAAGAATTTTCAAAGAGCACAACCATCACGGCGCCTCTCCGTTTTCTCCAAGAGACCCACCAACAAAACAAACCTGGGAGTGCATCGACCTCTTTGGACTGCCGCGTTTGGCGGGTCTGCTGCCAAGCTGCTGCCCCTCCACAAACCACGCACCTCATGGACCGGCTGACCGAGGGCAAACAAAGCCGCCGCTGGTGCTTGTGTGTTCAAAACTCGAGATCCCAAAGAATGTGCCAAAATAGAGGGACCCCAAACAGTGTTGTTTTCCTGGTGGTTTCGTATTACCAACTTACCAACCACCAAAAGTGGATCCCTCCAAAAAGACACGCTTGAAGTGGCAATGGCCCGCTTGGTTGCGCTTTGTCAAAGATTCCAAAACGGGGGCCCTCAGTGTAGGAATCTCCCCCATGCTTGAAATGGCCCCAACCAAAGCCTAAAGCTTGTCGAAAACAGCGGCCATGTCCTTCCAAGTGTCAACTGTCAAAGGGTGTTTCCTCACGTGAGTGACACCTTGTTTCAGGACGGTTCTTGGAAGGATAATGTTGCTTGCAAAGTTTCGCTAAATAACAACCGGCTTTGAGCAACCAACATGCCGCAACCCAACCCGAATCAAGGGAACCCGCAAGAGTTCGTTGGGGGCAAAGTGCACCCCGTTGCTTTGATGCTTGAGGCTGGCAAGCAGCCCACTGCGGAGGCCAACTCCTTTCGCAATCTAAGGCAAACATCTTGCGGATCGCCTTTGAAATGGTGTCGAGACTGGGCCAAGTCCCAGGCTGTTCGCGGTGTAAGGCCTAGCCAGTCGCACGGCTTTGAAAGAATTAAGAGGAAGTGCCCCCCCCTTCAAAAACCAAAGCACGAACCCTCAAAAATATAAACACACGCACACGGACACACCCGTCCACCCACCCGCCTGCCCGCCCACCCACCCGCCCACCCGCACGCAAACACACCACACACAAACACCCACACCCACACAGACACACAGACAGAGACACAGAGACACACAGACACGCAGACACGCAGACACACAGACACACAGACACACAGACACACAGACACACAGAAACACAGAAACACAGACACACAGACACGCAGACACGCAGACACGCAGACACGCAGATAGGCAGACGGGCAGACGGGCAGACGGGCAGACAGGCAGACACGCAGACAGGCAGACAAAGAAACAGGCAGACTGGAACCGCACAAGACCACGAATTGAATCAATGAACTGAGTTTGCTTTTACCCATATGATTGCAAGTTTTGGGCTGGTTTGGGTGGTCTGGGCAACGCCCCACAACCAAGCCCAAAGCAGCCCTAACATTGCATAACCACGCCCTGAAGCAGCCCAAAGGCTAGTGCAAAAACCGGGATGCACACCTCGCGCAAATCAGCTCCAAGCCAACTCAAACCGACTCAAAAGTGACCTTAAACCCTCCCAACAGCATCCTGGATATCAGCCCTTTACAAAGCCTAAATGCACCCCAAACGAACCCAAGACCCGCCCTCATTATATAAGACCTCAGCAAGCCCAACAATCGCCGAAACCAGCCCAGAGCAACTTTGAACTGCCAACAAATCAAAGCCAATAGGCAGCCCTAGTCCAAGCGAGGCCAGTGATGCTGGGGATGCCGGGGCTGCGGCCGCCCAGCTGACCCACCAACCAATCAACCAACCAACCAACCAACCAACCAACCAACCAACCAACCAACCAACCAACCAAACCAAACCAACCAACCAACCAACGAACCAACACCAACCAAATAAAACCAACCAACCAACCAACCAACCAACCAACCAACCAAGCAAGCAAGCAAGCAAGCAACCAAGCAACCAAGCAACCCAAGCAACCCACCAACCCACCCACCAACCAACCAGTCCCCTGGCCGGAACTAAGCCCCGAGCCGGGGCTAGCAAAAAAAAGCACCGGTTCCACTCTCGAATGAGCGCCACACTGAGCCCTGAAATGTAGCTTCCTGACCCTGTGTGTATGTGCGTGTTAGCAACTACTCAAATGTGCTCAAACAAGGACAAGTTAGAATGCGCCTTTCGTTGGGATATCTGTCCAAAGCAATATCAAAGAAGTATAGCTCCACACGTCCAGAGCCATAGCACAAAAATTGTTCTCGCAACGCCGTGCCGGAATTCTGGAACCCCTATCTTGCGGAATCAGTACCCTCCCGATAATTAATCGACAGGGCCCCCTCCCCCGCAAGGGGATTCCTCTACAAATTGAGCGCTTGCTCGAGGAGGCCAAAGGCGCTAAACATATGAACCCATGCGCGCATGCAAACATATAATATAATACACGTTTGTATAACACCGTTTC